ATTCGTTATTTTGAAGATTTTAACAGGGTTTTAACGGATTTTATTTATTTATTTAATTATTTTATTTATTTTTTTTTGAAAATTTTCAAAATTGTTCCAAATGTTGGAGGGTGTTTAAAATTCGGCCCGGCCGAACTTACTGCTTTTTTACTTCTTTATTGTACACTTTCTCTAAAATGTTATGCTGGGAAATCTTTATTATCAATATTTAAAAAGTAAAAAGCAAACAATTCATACACACTGACAAGTCTAACATAACAAACATGTGTGCAGACTATTTCCACAGTGGTCAGGTTAATATTATCAATAAATAAACACGCGTTCTTCTTTAGTGTCTGCCCCTTTTCGAAAACGAGTAAATATTTTACTTTCCGATAACCAATTCTGCTATATAGCTTCCACAAATTCTGTTCGCCTGTGAATTGTGTCCACAAAAGGCAATGAGTTTCTTAACCATTTAATTGTTTGCCATTTTATTGGCTATCAATCACTTGAAAATTTACTTATCAGTGTAATTTTGTTGAGCAAATATGAATATCAGACCACACCACACTTTACCACTTCAAATAGGAAAATTTTGAAGTGTTAAAACGTGAAATCGAAAATTTGGAATCATTTCGAAAAATATATTTATAGTTTATGGGATTTTTAATGGAAAAGTCCTAGCAGTATAAATTTCATTTCAATATCTGTCTGCAGATTACCGTTGGTTTATAAATTCAATTGATAGCAGATATGACAAATTTGAAATTATAAAATTGTCAGTAAATAAGGAAGTTGCTATAAAGTTCAAGTTGTGTTTCCAATGATTTGGAATATGTTTTAGATAGATTGCATGCATTAATAAGAGCTACTTTATATCAATATTTTGAGACCATGAATGGTATATTTATAATTTATCAAAGATCTTTCGACAATACCTAGACAATTTATGGCAATCAATGGACAAACTATGGAGAGAGCTGTGAAATAGAGTTATTTTTTGTCAAAATTGCCGGGAAGCCTCAGTAGATTATGAAAGTAGAGCTAAAAAGGAAGGCATGTGCATCCGCGTACGAAAGTTTAAATCTCAATTTAAACTAAATGGAGGGAGCAATTTCCCACTCTTCCACGTTTTGTGATATTTTCGGATAAAGATTCCTTGGAATTCTTGAGTTTTAAATTCATAGTGTCTTAAGCAGCATTACTGATAACCATAATAGGATTATTTTGGTCAACAATTCTTACCCATCTACTAGCCACCAGAAGAATATTTTTAGTCCCCTTTTCCGAAAGTGTTAAAAACTCCATTTAAACGGAATCACATCAAGTCGAAAAAACTCCACACAATTATTTTTCATAACATTGTACTATAGGTCCCAGAAAGTTTTAAGCCTTGTATAAATGCTAGTAAGTAATAAACATAAAAAATACGTCTTAGGTTTAAAGTCGTACTCTATATGAATATAGGAAAAGTTCTCCTACCAAAATTCATTTTAACAGGATGACGTCAAAGACAAACTATATCAAATTTCACTTTAAGTTTCCCAAAGTTTACTCTATATTCGATTTGAAGAGTGCTCTTGCGAGTAAAATAAAGGAATAGAGAATACTCTTTTTGTCACTCAGATACTCCTCTTTTTTTTTGATTGAGAGTAACATTTCGCTTTACTCTTGTCGTATCCTCTTTTAGTTTTTGTAATGCCGTTATTTTATTTGGTAACGAAACAAAAACAAATACGTTCAAGAGCTTTGTAGCCAATCTGTAACAACAAAGCATATGCAATAAAATTTTGCTGTTTTGCCCCTCTTTAGGACGTTGTATATGATATCGCCCAGTCCACGAAAACACATGTCACCACACATAAAAGCGAAAAAAAAATAATTTTTATACCCCCCACCATCCTCGAAATACTCGTGCTAGACCCTACAAAGTATTTTTAAAATTTAGCGATGTCTGTCTGTAGTAATCACGCTATCTTTCGAACGAATTGTGATAAAAGGCTACAATTTTGTGCACATGTGTATTTTTTCAGTAGGTGTGCTAAGTTTATAAATGGGTCACGTCGTTCTACATTTTCGTATAGCGCCCGTACGACTGTTCATCTCGATATTCGGTATTTGTAAGATTCCAAAGGAATTGTTTAGAATTCGGAACTTAGAGTATATGACGAGTTTTACGTAATGCAGCAGAACATTATCTATTTATGTATTCGACATAATGATGATTTAAGCCGGAATTGTTCAAAAGTCCTTTTGAAGCAGATTGTCGTCTGTATAGGTTCACATCTTCCTATAGCTCCAATATAACTGTTCCTCACGATATTTGAAGTCTGATGATTTTAGCCAAATTTTTCAGACATTTTCCAAATTTTTAAAAATTCAGTAGAATTTGTAATGGGTTCTATCCTTTGTGACAGAAGGTTGCTTGAATGGGCCTATTATAATACTTTCAGCCATTTGGCTAGAGAGGGTACATATCATTTGATACTGCCAAAACGTGTCTCATCGAAATAACGGTTTTAGACCCTAGGTCTCTTGCGACCAAATCCGTTTCAGGACATTTGGAGTCGATCTAGCGATGTCCGTCCGTCCGCCTGTCTGGCTGGTGCGTACGATAACACTCGAAGGGAGTATCCGATTTGGCCCAAAATTTGGTACATCATAATATCATTACTAAACGTGGATTCTTCTGGTACAGTCTACATAAAAAGTTGACGTTTTCAAAAAAAAAAAAAAAAAAAAAAAAGAAGAAAGAAAAGGGATAATCCGATTTTGCTCCAACTTTCCACATCCTAATATTTGCATCAGTGCTACGTTAGGGACAAAAAATACCAATACCGGTCCACTCCATTAAATATCTAAACCCGCAATGGGTCAAAAAGTTTGAATAATTATAACTCTTATAAAATGTGACATAAAAGTCCGATTGTGTCCCAAGGTCTGATGTGAAGATGGAATATATCGGTCCACTCCATCTGGCACCTCCCCCACAAGGGTCAAATTTTTGAAAATCCTTGAAGCACATACAACGGGAAATTAACGTCCTGTTCCATTTAGACTTGGTACATCTCAATATTTCCATCAATACAAGATCTATTACAAAGATGGGAGGGATCGGGCCATTTCTTCTGGTACCTCCCCCACAAAGTGTCAAAGGTTTGAAAAGCCAAAAATATTATAAAATCCGAAATATTTTTATAAATATTGTCAAGAAACGCGAAAATATGTCACATTTTTTGATAGCCTTCACCATACTATGGATCTTAAATTTACTTTGTCATTCCGTTTCTAACTTCTCGATATACTTATGTCAGAACCAACAAAGTATGTACATTCTTGATCAGCGTAAAATTTTAAATCGATTTAGCCATGCCCATTTCTCTGTTGTAATTACGCTATCCTTTAATAACACGGTACCTTCCGAAATTCGGTATTTAGCAACATCATTCAACGGAATTGTTTTAAATTTCGTATTTGAAGGTCCTAAAGGGTACAAAACATGTCGCATGCAGGTCCTTGTCTTCGTATAGCCCCCACATAACGGTTTTCATTATCATATTTTGACGAAATGTTTTTAAAGTTTTTCAAGTCCCTTTCAAGAGGTGAAGGGTATTAAAAGTTCGGCCCGGCCGAACTTTGATTCTTTTTTACTTGTTAAGATTACATTCGAAATTTAGGCATTGCAAGTGGAGACTATAAGTTTAGGTCTATTAATTTTGCAAAAATTTTCAACGTTTTAATTTTCTCTGGGTTTATTATTATTATTATTATTATTATTATTATTATTATTATTATTATTATTATTATTATTATTATTATTATTATTATTATTATTATATTATTATTATTATTATTATTATTATTATTATTATTATTATTATTATTATTATTATTATTATTATTATTATTATTATTATTATTATTATTATTATTATTATTATTATATTATTATTATTATTATTATTATTATTATTATTATTATTATTTTATTATTATTATTATTATTATTATTATTATTATTATTATTATTATTATTATTATTATTATTATTATATTATTATTATTATATTATTATTATTATTATTATTATTATTATTATTATTATTATTATTATTATTATTATTATTATTATTATTATTATTATTATTATTATTATTATTATTATTATTATTATTATTATTATTATTATTATTATTATTATTATTATTATTATTATTATTTATTAATTATTATTATTATTATTATTATTATTATTATTATTATTATTATTATTATTATTATTATTATTATTATTATTATTATTATTATTATTATTATTATTATTATTATTATTATTATTATTATTATTATTATTATTATTATTATTATTATTATTATTATTATTATTATTATTATTATTATTATTATTATTATTATTATTATTATTATTATTAGTATTATTATTAGTATTATTATTATTATTATTATTATTATTATTATTATTATTATTATTATATTATTATTATTATTATTATTATTATTATTATTATTATTATTATTATTATATTATTATTATTATTATTATTATTATTATTATTATTATTATTATTATTATTATTATTATTATTATTATTATTATTATTATTATTATTATTATTATTATTATTATTATTGTTATTATTATTATTATTAATTTTTTTTTTTTTTTTGAGGGTCCAAATCAAATTTTTCAAGCAGTCGTTTTTATTGGCAACAGTTTATCGATCTACTCCGTCGCCTTTATAATCTTGATTCACATCTTCGAGAAGCAGACAATCGGAATTTAGAGCTAGTTTCATCTTGGTTGTCTGAATAAGAAATACATCATTGTGCCTATTTATTTCACATCGTTAATAATCAATGTTCACCAGACCTTTTTTATAAGGTTGGTTTATTTAAAACTGCATGAGAATCTTAAAGAAAACACAAATTCACCACCATTTTATCAATACGGTTTCAATTATTTTTCTACATTTATTTCAATAAATTCTTATTTACAAAATTACAATAAAAAACACTTCTCATTAAATTAACTAAGCCTCTAAAATATTATTTTAATAAAAACAGAATTACACATTACACACTCTCTCGAAATTCTTACAAACGAATAGCAAAAGTTTTGCAGCATTCATGTGGTGGGTCGGGACGGAAGACCTGTTTGCCATCGGCATCAAAATAATCCTTGTAATAGGCCACATTAACGCACTCCCATCCCAGACGATCCTTAATGCGGGCCGAATAGAAACTTGTACAATCGGCAGTCTGCAACTCAAAGCCCATTTGCTTGCCAATATCATTCACAGCATTATAGAGGCGAGCACCAATATTTTTGCCACGCATTTTCTCCTCAACGCAAGTGGCAATGACGTGCAAAACCTTTGTCACATTGTAGCGTTTATAGACATCGGCATCTCTTTCAACTTTTTCCAAAAATTTCAAAATTCTACCCCATTTTGTGTTGCCCTCTTCGGCAGCTGCTTTCGCCAAATGTTCCGGCTCCTCAGGACCCTTGGGACCGGCCACGGTCACACCCACCAATTCATTGGTATCTTTAACGACTGCCAAGAAGCAGGTGCCGTGTGCAATGTTGGACAACAGAAATTCCTTGCCAAAATTCGTTTCTTCTTTGGGTTCACTTCCATTGGTCAGAGGTTCGTCGCGGAAGAAATATTTGCACAGCAGATTCCAAACTCCTTCGCGATCTTCCTCCGTGGCCACACGGATTTCAATGCCATCTTCGACATGGGGATATTGAGTTGCCATTGTTATTTTATTTTTTCAATTTATTTTAGCTATTGAATAACTGATAAGCAGAGACTATTCGATAGAACTAGAATGCGGAACAATGCCACCGCGTATCGATTAAAGGCCGGAACGAACTGCACTGAAAAAACGCTTCGACAATGTAGTTTATATGACCATTAAAATAGAAAGATTTAGAACTGTTATCGCTTCGGCAACAAAATGACTAAAAAACTTAGAACGAACGACTGATATTTATTTGTATCGTCACACAATAACCGAAATGTTGGGGCTCGACATTTTGGAAAATTGAATAAAATCACCATGGAACACTAGAATATGTTGTAGTGTAGTCTTCCAAAATCATATATTATCTAGGTAGACTGTACATAGAAATCGGTTTATCTGCCATCTTAACACCCACAGTTGGTTGATTATTTCGCTAGTTGCTGATACCAAACTTTGGGATGTCTACCAATTTTCTAAGAATTCCATTAACTTTTGGACTGATATTTTGATAAGAATAGTTGTAGACACGGAGCATATTTAATTATTATTTTTTCTACTCGCATAAGTGAATTTGCTTAATCATTAAGCCCTCTAATCATACATGCCCTCTCTAATATCAACCAAAATAAAATGCAAAGTACAAACGTACTTAAAAAACTTTATAGCAAAATTTCTGCAGTTGGCGTGGAATAATGAAAAGTAAAGAAATCCACGCGCTATAATAACCACTAATTTAATAATAATCATAAAATATGTAACTATTAAGGCTTTATGAAAGTGATTCCAAAACAAGTAAAAAAGAAGTAAGTAAGTAAGAATACCCTCCACCATTTGGAACGAATTTGGAAATTTTCAAAAAAATAATTCCGTTAAAAACTATCTTAAAAATACCGAATATAGCCATTATATTGGGGTCTACACGGCGTGGACCTACATAGGCTTTGTTTGTCATAAGCCATTACCATATTCAAATTGGAAACTTGAAATAGACGGTGAATAATGTAGCTAAAAGTATCAAAATGCCGTATATAGGGAGTTAGGTTATATCGGAGCTATACGAAGATCTGGACCTGTATAGACAATTTTCTGGCACAGGCTGTAGCATCCATTACGAACTTCAAATACGACATCTCAAACAATTTCGGTGAGTATTATACCTAAAATCGTCAAAATACCGAATATTGGGAGGTACTGATATATGGGGCCTATACGAAGACCTGGACCTGCATAGACAATTTTGGGTCACAGACTGTAGTTCCCATTACGAACTCTAAATACGTAATTTGAAACTACTTCGGTGAATAAAGTCGGTAAAATCATCAAAATACCGAATATCGGAGGTACCGTTACATGGGGGCTATATGAAAACGTGGAACTACATGGCCCATTTACGAACTCAACCTGTCTACTGGGAAAATAAACATGTGTGCAGAATTTTAGCCTTCTATCTCAATTCGTTCTTAAGATAGGGTACAGACAGACAGACGGACATCGCTAAATCGACTTAGAATTTTACGCTGATCAAGAATATATATACTTTGTTGGCTCTGACCTGAGTATCTCGAGGAGTTACAAACGGAATGACAAAGTTAATATACCCTCCATAGTAGGGTGGAGGGTATAACAATTACTGAAATACAGGTTATGTTTATTCTTATAAGGTCGATATTCTTTTAAAGCCCCTTTTATCAATGGTTCCAATAGCCATTGTTCCTATATTCCTGGTCCTAAAAAACCATTATTGCAACAATGGTCCTTAAAAATATTCTTAATATCTCCTTGTCTAAGTAACATTCCAAAGAGATCCGTCATCATTACTTTTTACACCCCACGCCACACTTTGATACAGGGTATTATGTCTTTGTGCATTTGTAACATGTAGAAGGAAGCGAAATAGACCCATAGTTCCTTTTGATGATCTTCATATTCTTAGTCGATATATGCATGTCCATGTATTTTTGTAAACAAAGTACGGGTCACATTTATTGTACGATTGAGATGAACATTTCTTGGCCAAATCATTTTCTTGGCCCATCATTTATTTGGACTATTGAAATTGCTGGGAATCGGTCCGGAAACGGAAGAAAACAGTAACATCAGCAGAAATGGTTCGAAAAGCAAAGAAGTGACTTGATCGAAACCCGCGCTGCAGTGGCTGAAAAATGGCTCGTGAGCTGAACGCATCGTAATATTCCATTCGGCAAATATTGAAAAATGAGCTCGGGGTAAAGCCATTCAAATTCCAAAAAGTGCAAGAATTTACACCGCAACCGAAAGAAAATAGACTCAAAAGTGCTAAAGAGTTGCTTCGCTTGACCGAAAGTGGTGAACTGCCGAATTTGGTTTTCTCCAATGAAAATACATTTGTGGCATGGCACTAAAAAATACCAAAGTGTCGATACCCTCAAGCAAACGCTTCGCCGGTAATGGGCCAAAATACCGCAGAGCAACATTCGGGCAGCGTGTGACGGTTTCATTGGCCGTTTGAGGGCCATAACTCGTGCCAAAGCTGACCAATTCGAACAAATCTAAACGTATTCTAGAATTTGATGCTATTTCCGAAATTTTTTGCTTTCTCTCAATAAAATTTAACAAAAAAATTTAAAAATTATGCCGTTTGACTTTGTTTTTTTTTTTTTTATCTCACCATGTATATATTTAAAAGAGTAGTGAGATAACTGACTGGCCGAGAATCAACGCCCAGAACAAACGGCGGAAGCTATACTCTTGATATTTTGCACGAGGGTTAGTTTGGTGCGTAGGCGTGAGATTTTTGGAAAGTCTTACTAGAAGAGTACGATGAGTACTAATCGGTCCTAAAAATTTAATTTAAAATTAAAGCTAAAATTTTGTACTGGTGTCTCTGTGCACAAAAATGACCAAGTTGTACTAAATTTGATACAATTTGGTATTGGGTGTAATTGTACGAAATCTACTAAACAGTACTACATAAGGGAAATTTTGGCATTGGATGGTCTTGAAATCCTAAATTTGGTATTCGGATCGCTGTCTATGTGTAGCCTGGACATATAGTCGTGGTTTCGGTAATGTGTTCTGGAAATTAATCCTATATTTGTACGAAAAGTACTAAATGGTACTATTATTGGTATTGGGTGAAAAGATAGGGCTGGAATCCTCAAATTTCATATGGACGTCACTGTGGTTAAGAATAGGAGCTGATTTTGGATATGCGTACTATAACTGTACTAAATTAGTTAATGAGGAAAATTTAAGAGCTGAAATCCTGAAATTTAATGTTAAGGTCATTGAAGTTGAAATATAGAGATTTCTTTGAAAATGTGCCGTTGGTTGTTGGGATAGAGATATAATTCTGAAAGGAGGTGGGTTTGGATATACGTAGTATAATTGTACGAACGTTATGGTAACATATTTGGGATTGGGTCTTAGGATAGAGCTAGAATAGTGGTGGCCAAAAAAAGCAGCTAAGTTCGACAGGGCCGAACTCTTAATACCCTTCACCATTTCGAAGGATCTTGAAGAATTTAAGAAAATTCCGTTAAATGAAAACAATTATATAAGGTCTATACGAAGACATCGACCTATATAAGTAGTTTTTAGTCATATGCTGTAGTACCGATTCTGAACTTTAAATACGAAATTTAATTGAACAACGTCGCTTATATCATCAAAATAACCAATAAAGAAGGTACGGTATATATGGGCTTTACGAAGACGTGACCTGCAAAGATAACATTCCGACATAGATTGTAACACTCATTACGAACTTCAAACTTTAAATACCAAATTTAAAACAATTCCGGTAAAAATGTCGTTAAAATCAAAATACAAATATCGTGGGCCTATGTCGACAATGCACCTCCAGGTTGAAAAGTACTCAGAAGGAACACCTTGTATGGATTTTGAGACAATTCCATTGAAAAATGTGGCTGAAATCATTGAAATACCGAATATCGGAGGTGCCGTTATATGGGGGCTATACAATATCGTGTACCTATATACCCTCTATACTATATATGGTGGAGGGTATTAAAAACGGTGATATAATTTTGACTAAAAATTGGATGTGGAACCACTTTGCAAGGTTCCCCTAATATGCTCTTCTGTAACCTTCAAAACAAAATATTTTCAAGACTTTTTAGTGCAAAAAATTATCATTTTTCGATTGTCATTTTCGATGAACAAGAAAAGAAAAGAACAAGAAATAATGAAGAAAATGTACATCCTGTGCACTAAAATAAATTGGTGGAACGAATATCACATTTTTTGTTAGACTTGAACGCTGACGAAGCAGCGGATAGTTGTTAGTTCAATATAAGCCCTTCAAAAATTGTCTTAAAAAATTCACGACGAATGGTCTTTAAGGCCTTAAAGGATATTCTTGAAAAGAAACACTGTCATGCAACATAAGGAAGTTCTACATTTTTTTCATAAACGACAACAAACCATTTTTATTTTTAAAATTTTGCGATTTTATTTTGTAGTTTCTAAATATTTTTGTTTTGTCTTTCAGATAATTCGGCAGATATGGTGCACCTTACAAAACATTTGTTCTCAACAAGGTAAGTTTCTAATAATATTTTGTTGACTTTTTTGAAATATATTTAAATTCGAACAAGTCAATATTTTAATGGATTGTCACACTTTTACATAATTCCGTTAAGGTATTTAAAGCAACATATATTTATGGGCACATGTTAAGAAATTTGATATTTTTCAATTTTCAGTGCTGGTATTTCTATAAAAACTTTTTATTAATTTCCACTTAAACAAATTTAATTCCAATTCTACAGCCGAGTAGCATATACTCTGCAAGCATCATGTGGTGCTAGTGGTTGAAATACTGGTTGTCCATTTCCATCCAAATAATCCTTATATCTGACACTGTGGACTATATCCCAACCCATATGCTGAAACATTTTTGCTGTGTAGAAACTTGTGCACTCGGCTGTAATTAATTCAAATCCCTTTTCTTTGCCCAAATCCATGACTGCTTTACTGAGGCGAGATGCAATACCCCTCCCTCTCCACTCACTTTTCACCGTTACAATAATGAGGTGTAATAATTTTTGAATGTTGTAGCGTTTGAACAGATCAGCCTCACGTTGTATTTTGGTTAGGAATTTATGAATTTTATCTCCCGTTGTGTCATGTGTTGTGACTTCATCATTGCAAAGCTCTTCTTCCTCCTCCTTTAGAGGATCCTCGGCATCGTTTAGAACCACTCCAACCAATTCTTGGGTTTCCTCCACAATTGCCTTTAAACAAAGGCCGCTTTCAATTAAGGAACTTAGAACCTCTTCTCCGAATCCCCGCTTCTCGTCTGGTCGATGACATGTCGACAATGGCTCGTCTGGGAAAAAATATGATTTCAAGAAATCGTAGACCCTCGGGCCATCCGTTTGAGTTATGCAACATATTTTAATATTCGATTCCATTTTTTTAATATTCGAATTCAATATTAACTAATTTGTAAATCAATTTATCCGACCGGCCAGTTTTGTTTAGCATGCACTGCTGCTGCAACTATCGTTGTAAATTGCAAGCGAGTGCAAAATGATCGCTTTACATGGGACATTCTTATCAAGAGCTTTTTCCGTGCTGACACACATTGTTTTATGAGTCCAATAAACTCTTGTATTTATTCGCATAATATTTTTTTGTAATAGTTGATATCAACGATTGACGAGGATGGATTCTCGTTAAATGCCTTTAATGACAAAGTCAATGTTTATCTCTGTTTGGGTTTAAAGACAAAATGTGCCACAACGAACAGAACAGTGAAGTCTTTTTTAATAGCACATGTGATCTTTAATGTAAGTCCCGGTGGGATATAAAAATAAACAAAATTGTAATAAAAAATCCAAACACTATCATTTTCAAGAGCGCAATTATTTAGCAATTCATGACAAATTGAATATTTATTACAGAAAGAAAAAAAAATAATTAAGTGCCGAATTCTATTTTATTATTATAGCGAATAGTTTATTTCGATTTGCATAAATTAGCCAAAATAGAAAGAGTAACATTATGCTAATGAACTCTAACATAGGCATATTTATAGCAAGTGGTCTGGACTACAAATTGATGACGTCTTTTCAGACGATCGAGCCCTTCTTTAGATTTACATTTTTTGCCACAGGTCATAGCGAAACAAAATAACAGCCAATGAAACGGAATATTGAATAAATCACAGAGCAAAGAATAGCGCACAGTAGATCGGAATTGTATTTTGCTGACCCAAAATATTTTGAATTTGGAGCGGGTTTGTGAAAAAAAATATAATTTTTATAATAATTAGTTGTGTTCCAAAACCTGCAATACCACAATCTTTCCGATAACCGGTATTTTAATGACTTTAACCATATTTTCTAACGAAATTGCTTAAAAATGTATATTGATTGGCTGATGTGTCGATTTAAGAGGATTGCCACGTAGTTTAGACATTTTCGCTAGATTTTCCTTCATATTTTGTGCGAAAAGCCTTTCTCACAGACCATAATCTAAAAAAGTAACGTTGGGAGAGATCAGGTTTTATTCACAGGATTACGCGTCAAGACGCAGTAACCCGGCGGGAAATGTCATTACGAACGTTCAGACGAATCGGTTAAAGCTAGAATCTTGAAATTTTTCACAGAGGTTAGTCTTGGTGCGTAAGCGTGAGATTAAGCTGAGTTTTTGAAAAACTCGTACTGAAAGGGTACGAAAAGTACTAAAAATTAAATACTTTTATTAAATACTAAGGTCCATCTTGGTGTGTAGTCATGTAAGTCTTGTACTAAAAGGGTACGAAAAGTACTAATTTATTGAATTGGACAAACGGAATGAGCAGGAATACTGAAATTTGCAATTAGAGTCAGTGATGGAAGGCAGGATAGATGTACCAAAGAATTTTTGGAAATTCGAATTATAAGGCTACGAAAAGTTTTAAAATGGTTTAGAAATAATCAAGTTAGGACATTAAGTTTAAAATATGGTGTTGATTTTAGAAACGTATACTAAGTGTGCGAACTGTAGTAAACGGTACTAATTTTGTATCACTATTTGGGTCTAGAATGGAGGGATGGGATATGTTTTAGATATGCGTACTAAATTTTTCTAAATTTGGTATTGGGTGAAGGGAGTTCTCTGTTGTTATCAGAAATTGAGATATGGAGGTGATTTTAGAAAATGTGTACTACAATTGTACGAAAAGTACTAAAATTGGTATTGGGTCAAGGGAAGGGCCTGGAATCCAAAATTTGTCCTGTTGGTATCTGATGGTGGTTGTGCAACTGCGTAATACAAACGTTCGAAAAGTACTAGCCTAGACATATGGATGTGGTTTCGCAAATGTGTTCTATAATTGTACGAAAAGTACTGAATGGTACTATATTTGGTATTGGGCAAAGGAATATAAATAATTCTGAAATTTTATATTTAGATTACCGATTGTGTCTATGTTTGAGATTTGGCTGTGGTTTGGAAATGTGTCCAATATTTGTCCAAAAAGTACTAAATTGTACTTAATTTGGCATTGGGTGATGAGATAGGGCAGGGCTGGAATCATCAAGTTCGATTTTGAGGCTTATGTTGGTATCAGGAATTGAGATATGAAGGTGGTTTTGCAAATGTATACTATAATTGTACGAAAAGTACTAAATGGTTATATGAATTTTGATATTTGGATTACTGATATTATTTATGTTTGGGAATTGGCGGAGGTTTTGAAATGCGTACGAAAAGTACCAAATTGTACTAAATTTATAATTGAGAGAAGGAGGAATCCTAAAAAATTTGTTAATGAGGTCTCTCTTGGTATTGGGACTTGAGATATGGATGTGGCATTGAAAATGTGTACTATAAATGTACGAAAAGTACTAAATAGTACTAAATCTGATATTGGGTGAAGCAATATGGCTGGTTTCTAAGTTTACATATAGTGAGTTTACATATAGTTAGTGATTGAAAAATGTTGCCAAATTGAACAAATTGTGCATTTTGAGAACTAACAAGTAAAAAAGCAGCTAAGTTCTGCCGTGCCGAACTTTTAATAAAATTCACAATTTGGAAAGAACTTTAAAGATTTCCAAAAAATTCCTTCAAAAAATACCGCTTAGGTGAAAACCGTTGCATGCAGACGTGGACCTACACAACTTTTTGGACCTATGTTAATTTTTGCCATACACTGTAGCACAGATTCTGATCATCAAATACGAAATTTTAAAGAGTTCCGGTGTATAATGCCTCTAAAATCATCAAAATACCGAATATCCAGGGGTACCGTTGCATGGGGCTCCTTTCCGTTATATAGGGAATATCGCAGACCTATATAGACAATTTTTTCAGAAGGTAAAGTACTTGCATGAATTGAAAGATAATTTAATTGAAAAAATGTGGCTAAGATCATCAAAATCCCGAATATCGGGGGAACCGTTATATGGGGCTATATATGCCTGCAGACAAAAGACTGATCTGTGCAAAATTTTAGATTTCAATCTTAATTCGTTTTAACTCTAGCATGATCACAATAGACGGACAGGCGGACGGAGGAACGAACAGGGCTAAATCGTCTGATCAAGAATATATATACAAACGGTATGACGAACTCAATATACCCTCCATACTATGTGTGGTGGAGGGGATAAAAAGGACTTACACGAACGGATCTAAAATTTTAAGGTAGACATTTCGCTGAGAAGTAGCGGGCGGGCACTGGCTAATTGCTATATAAAAATTCAATTATCACACTCTCCGTATCCTAAGCTCCCTCCATGTTAATTTATTACTTGTAAGTTACGACTATAGGGTCTGCTTGGAGAAATTTTTGAAAAGTGAGTAATTTTCATCAATTGTTTTGCTGGGATGCCATGTAGTAAATCTTAAATTGCCTAACAGGCCTTTAATTTAAATTATGATGACCTTGTCGTTCCATTGTCGGACTTATGAAATCTACAAACATTAAACTAAAAATAGTTTCACGAAAGCGAAACTATCACCAAAGTCGACATTAGACTAGAATTGAGAGAAGCTAGACATTTGATACTTCCGATTCATTGCTAACTGAAATACACAACAAATTATCAAAATTCACGAAAAAAGTGCCAAGTCATTGGAAGATCCATTTGTAAGTGCTAGAAAAACACTGTGGAAGATTTTCAAACAGAACACACGCTCTTCTTATCGCTACCTCTCTTTACAGTTTGTGATTAGAACGAAATGGAAACATTGTTCATGGCAGATAGTAGCGGCAAGTAGTGACAGCGACAGATGTCTTCGCTTTCACATTAACAAGCATTCAGTCGCTCAATTAACGTCGCCTAATCAACACCACCGTCTCAAATTCTAACACTAAAATGAGCTACGAAGATGATGTTGAAATTAAAGTCGTGCAAGAGGAGAATCGTGAAGAAATCAGAGGAATTTTGAGAAGCTATTTTTTCACCGATGAACCGCTGACGGGTTACACAGAACCCAAGGGAGTGGCCTCTGTATCGGAGGAGGAATACGTTCTGGACAACATCAAATATGGCGTCTGTGTTATGGCGGTGTACAAGCCCACAAATAAAATTGTGGGTGTCTGTATGGCCGGACCTCAGGGTGTAGATGAGGCTGATCACTTATTTGAGGAGGCTGCCAAGGAGGGTGACACAAAATGGGGAAAGATTTTGAGAATGTTGGCCTGCATTGAACGTGACGCAAAGGTTAGCCAACGTTATGGAGTACAAAAGATTAGAGAATCTTTTGTACTCCATAACGTTGGCTAACCTGTGTGGATAGTTCGATGCGTGGTAAAAATCTTGGTTCCCGTCTGTATAATGCTGTCCGGGATTTGGGCAAAGAGAAGGGCTATCAGCTGTTGAGGGCCGATTGTACCAGTTTCTATTCAGCCAAAATCAAGGAGCGTCTTGGCTGGGACTGCATTAACACAATTGTTTACAAAGACTTTTTGGATGCAAACAACCAACCGGTGTTTAATCCACCACCTCCACACGATAGCTGTAAATCGTACGCTTTGAGATTGTGAAGATGTTAATTGAAAATTAAAATAAACATAATTTTGTTATGTGTGCTTGTGCAAAATATATTAGTGTAAATAAGTAGCTATAGTTTTTTTATGATGTGAAAAAATCTAAAATAAAATAAAAATAAATAAATCTGTTTTAAAAATTAATAAATTGAAATATGGTAGCGATTTAAAAAAAAAAAAATACAATTAAAAAATATAATTAAATATTTCTCCTAAAACAAAATAAAACGAAGAATTGCTATCTACGCCATTTATATTAAAAAGTCGTGTGGAAAAACGATCTTATCGTCTACTAAACATCGTATCGATATTATTAGAAAAAAAGCATGCCATGATAAGAGTCCAACTAAAAATGGTAATATTTGCCATTATTTGTAAACAGTGCGTCTTTAAAGTGTTTTTTTTTTTTTTTGTTTTTATAGCACGTGTGTTTTTTAATCAACAGAACCACATACGAAATGGTTCTATTAGATTTGTTTGTACAAATGTTCATATTTTTTACCGTACATTATAGTCTAACATACGTGATATGAATAACAAATTGTGAAGAACTGTCTGCGTAACACCGTTTGAAATAAGGCAAATGTTAAGCTGTTTAAATAAGGGGCCAATCTAAGGTGATCTGACAATCGATTTTCACAGTTGCTATTGATTTCCGTAGCATTTTCTTGTTGATCAAAAGAATATCCATGCAGAAAGTGAATTTTTCACGGAATATACCCATTACCCTGCAATGAGGAAGAAGTGTTGCGAGTTGGAGATTCAGCGTCCAAGAAAAAATTAGAGTCGTGATGCACCCAGTAAAAATACTTATAAGAAATCGGGTTACTAATCCGTTAAGGGCATATCGCACTAAACGAATGTAGCTGTGATTGCTAAAAATTATTTGGGGCTCATAATTCAAGCAAGTAACCAAAATGTTTTCTAAAGCAGCAAAAATTTGTGGCCATTGGGGAAGCATTGGGGAAATTTTACAACGCCCTAATTACGAAGTTAGGACTATGGCGATTCTGTCCTTCCAGGGCTTTAATACCTAAAAGGAATGTTTTTTATTAGCTGTTATTTGCCATTTTCTGCCATAAGAAATTTATTCCTACATAATATAATAAGGGTTCAATAAAACCGGGTTTCCTAGCATGACTAATATTTATTAATATTTGAATTTTCGATAAACCAAAGAAATATTATTACCAAATATTACCACAAGTTAGAATGTATCAGTTGGTTTTGCCTACAGATGTAAAATCTCCGCCAATGTCTGTTTATAAAAATAAATTTTGACTTGTGTTTTGATTCTTTACAATGTTGACCCTATATTGGGATGGTACCGAAGAAATGGGCCAATATTTTCAATTTCGTATCTGACCTAAGTCAGATATTAATATTATGTCGGTTTGGATTATGTCGGCTATTTCCTTTGTAAAATTTTTATATAATTTTTATAAAATGTAGAAATATTCTTGGGGTTCAAGATATAGTAGACCGATTTATTAAATTCCTATAATACTGATAATAATATTGGGATGTGCAATATTTTAAGAAAATCGAACAATTATTTCCAATTATATGCAATTTGTTAATCCAAATTTGAACCTTTTTCACATCAGATCTCTGGTTGAGAAAAATATGGAAAATATAAATATTAACAAGTAAAACAGCAGCTAAGTTCGGCCGAGCCAAACTTTTTATACCCTCCAACATTTGGAAAAAACATAAAAATTTGAAAAAACAGTAAAGAAAGTCTTATAGTCGGGCGGGGCCTTGCTAATTTAGTAGAGCTGCTCATAACAATTAAAAGTTTTTATGGGAGAATTCAATCATACACGCTATGATTATAATTATAATTTTAATTTGACATACTAACTTCTAGACTCAATTCGGCCGCAAGTGCCAAATTTCATCCAATTTGTGAAAATATTAGACGTTTTGTGCACAATCCAAGGTAAATCGGGCGAAGTTATATATGGGAGCTATATCCAAATCTGAACCAACAAATGTATTTCTGAGCTGTATTTGATATATTTCCCTGAATATCGTTGTTACGGAGTGCATATTACGGCTGCGGAGGACAAAAATAACAAATCGGATGAACAATATATATGGGAGCTATAGCTATAACTGAACCGATTTCGATCAAATTTGGCATACTTATTTTGAGGTCCAATCTGATCGAACGTGCATTCCATACTATTCGGACTGATATTACACGTTTGGTGCACAATAAAGGCAAATCGGACGAAGATATATATGGGAGCTATATCTAAATGTTGACCGATTATCTCCAATTTCAATAGGGTTTGTCCTCGGGCCAAACAAATGATTTGTGCAAAATTTCATCTGGATAGGGCAATAAATGCGAACTGTACTTTGTTTACAAAAATACGTGGACAGACGGACGGACGAACAGACAGACGGACGGGCATGCATAAATCGACTCAGAATGTGATTGTATGCAGATCATCAAAAGGAACTATGGGTCTATCTCGTTTGCTTTTGCCTGTTACAAACAAATGCACAAAGACATAATACCCTGACCACCTTGTGGTGTAGGGTATAAAAATCCGTCAAAAATACCGCTAAAATGAAACAGGTTATATGGGGGATATACGAAGATGTGGTTCTGAATAAGTAATTTGTGCCATAGGCTGTAGGAATGGTTCCGACCTTTATATACACAATTTGAAACAATCCCGGTGAATAATGTCCCAAAAAATCATGAAAATACCGAATATCTGGGGGTACCATTATATGGGCGCCATACTAAAACGTGGACCTATGTAGACAATTCTCCTCTAGGGTGTAAAGTTCTCGGAAAGAGCCCCTTGGGTGGATTTTAAGACAATTTCATTGAAACATTTGGCTAAAATATTGGGGTATACGATATTGTGGACCTATATAGACATTCTCTTCTAGGGGATAAGGTTCTCATTCACACGAATAATTCAAAAAATTGGACCCTTATTCACGAGATGTGGACCAAAAATTTTGCCTGAAAATACTAACAAAAGCGATAATATTCCAACAACCGTTCGAAAGATAGTGTAATTCCAATAGACAAAAAGACGGAAATCGCTAAATCTACTTAGAATTTTATGCTGATCAAGAATATAAATACTTTGATGTGTCTGACATAAGTTTTTTGAGGATTTACAAACGGAGTGACGAAGTTAGTATACACTCCATAGTATGGGGGAGAGCATAAAACAATGTTGGAACAGTAGCTGTCTAGAAAGGGGACATACTCTAGTAACTGAAGCGACCAAAACGCAGCTTTTTGGCATAAAATACGTCAACTTAAATCGTGCTGAATTTAACTGTAACTCTCTCTCTCTCTTTTCCGACATCTATAAGATATCTGCATCACATCTTGTTTAATTGTGGACTGGATCCTCTAAAATGGCGCCCAACTCGAAGATACTTCTAGAATTTATTGAAATAAAGAGAAATTTAACTTAAAATCTTGAATCATTATCCTGGCCCAACCTAAACGCATTTCCAACCTTCCATCACCGAGTTGCTTCCGCTGCTTAAAACCTTCAATGTGTTCTTAAACCCAAAAACAAAAAAAATCTCCAGTGAAAAATCTCGTACAAAGCATTGCCCACTCACGTTGAATCACAGTTAATTTTACAAAAATCCTCAGCAATTTGGTAGGTTTTCCTTCTGCCGCTCCTCTCCTCCCTCCACCTCTACACAATTTTTTCGCAAGTTCATTTTGCAGTCTTGTCAAGAATCTGTCACCCTCTATCGCTCTATCATTGGCTTCTTGTCGTCGTCGTTGGCATTCGGTATTATTAAAATATTCCACGCACGCCACGAATGAATCCATCTGTGAATGCAGCACGTTCTTCAATCAATATAACGTGTAGTATACGTCACAATGTAAAGGCACACACACACATGTGTGTATGCGTTAAAACACAGAGAGAGAAAGGATTCGTCTGTGGTTTATTTTGATTTTCCAATGTGTGTGTGGGTGTAGGTTTGTGTGATTTGGTGCCAAATAATGGTTTATTTATATAATCAGTTTATAGACTGCATTGCTGCTGCTGTCATTCAGTCGTCTGTCATTGTCGTAGAAGGCCACTGGTCTTTTGTGTTGCACACACACACATATATGATCAGTTTTATAAAAGCTACCAACTTTAGAGTCGGATAATAGGTTTTTTTGTAGAAGACAAATAGAAGGTCTTTCGCTTCCGGAAGTGATGTGCAAGAAAATGCATAAGGTTTCCGATCTAAAAAAAAATTAAGGGAGGTTATCGGTCTGAGAAGACTTCTAGGCGATTTTCAATCTAGGGAAGACCTGTAGAAGATCTTTTATCAACAAAATATAGATAAACTTAGAAAAATATTTATGTCAAGTATAAATTAAGGAAATATTGTTAGTCGTAAGGTATTCAAAAATTGTCTAAGGATATTGATGAAAATAAATTGAAATTGAAAAAAAAATTATCAACAAAAAAATATATAAAAGTTATTCAATCTACACAGGGCCGCTATACTTTACCATGTAGCATCAGGCCTCAAGAAAGCCTTCATTACAAAGAACAAAGGGACCCAAAAATAATATATTCAAAGGACCTACATCAACATCTCTGCCAACAGAAGATATATAAAACGCCTTAACCTTTGGAGGCCTATGGAAGGCCTACAATATATAGAAAAACTACAGAAGTTCTTCCTATGGAAACTCTTCTCTCAATAAAAACCAAACTGAACTATAGGAAGTTTTCTATGCCCCCCAACAATGTTGGTCAATAGTTTTTGTTGATTTAATATTTCAGGACCCATAATACAGGGTGAGATAAAAAAACTGCAGCAAAGACAAACGCCATCATTTTTAAATTTTTTTTAAATATCATTGAATGAAAGCAAAAAAATGTCGGAAATAGCATCAGATTTTAGAATAAGTTAAGATTTGTTCGAATTGGTCACCTTTGCCACGAATTATGGTCTTCAAACGGCCAATGAAACCGTCCCACGCTGCCCAAATTTTGCTCTGCGGTTTTTTGGCCCATTACCGGCGAATCATTTTCTTGAGGGTATCGACACTTTGGTATTTTTAGTGCCAACCTTGCTTTTTAAAATACTCCAGTCACAATAGTCCAACGGATTGGTATCCGGAGATTTTGGTGGCCATTGTGCGCTGGAACGAAGCGAGGAACCTCATTTTGTAACCATTGTTGAGTGGCGCTTGCTGAGTCCTGTTGGAATGTTGAATACACCCTTCACAATATTTTAGCGATAATATTTGGCATTTATTCTGATGCCACGGTCGATTAGTATGAGCAGAGACACTTATGGCAGCCCACACCATCAGCATGGCCGGCGCTTGAGGCTCCGGTGGCCACCGAAGGTGGCCAACCGAAGCTGCACATTTTCAGCTGACCTCTTTGGCAAGTAAACACGATCATTTGGTTTACTTACAAACTGCTGGACAATGAATGTTTTCTCGTCGGAGAAAACCAAATTCGGCAGTTCACCACTTTCGGCCAAGCGAAACAACTCTTTAGCTCTTTTGAGTCTATTTCCTTTCTGTTGCGGTGTAAGTTCATACACTTTTTGGAATTTCAAGGGCTATGGGGAATGGAATAATGCGATATGTTCAGCTACGCCACTAGTATCACGGTAACGGGCGATGGTACGAGACACAAAAGATTTATTCACATTTAAATGCTGGAGTGCTCTAACGATAGCCACTTGTGGTTTTGCAGCCAAATATAAAGAAATCACACTATCACGCTTGAATTCCATCACGAATAACTTTTTTTCTGGAAAATTTTATCAGAATGAATTTTTTATATAATGATCTGCCACTGGAATAATTTTAACAGCTGTCGGAGGAGTGGTTTGGAAATGACAGCAGTTGGAAGTTGGTTTCCTATGCCTTCCGAACTACTTTTTTTTCTAGTTTCACCATTAAAAAGGTAAAGGGACATTTTCTGGATATTCCAGTTTATACAGATAAGAAAGTAGAAGAATAAGAAAAATATAATTCTACGCACCTACCCCTGCTACTGAAATTACAAAAAAGTTGCATGACACAATTTAACGAATTATATTTGAATCCCTCATATTTGAACACTTAACCAACTACTATTTCTGTTGCATACCAAATCAAGTCAAAAACAGCTGATGGAAATATTTTCTCTTAATTTCATATTTTCAATTCTCTTTCAAAATAAATTATTTGTTTTCAAAACATTGGTTTCGATAACAAATCTTGTTCTCTTCAATCCTCTCATATGTGGCCACTCATCGCCCCACTGCTGCGCCAGCAATCAGTCGTACACGCGATCACATCGCAGCATAACGTTCTCATTTCACGCATTCGATTTCATTATCAGCTGTTGTTTGCACGACGACAACAACAAAGCAACTGGAAGCGACCACAACAAAGACGTCATAAATTCAACAAACAGCTGGTCAAGCGTCAAGTAACTGGAGGAAATATGAGCAACAACACTGGAGATGATATTCGGATATGTGTTATACAATCGCAGCAACGGCAGCTTGTTTTAGATTTCCTCCGTATCCATTACTACCGTGAAGAACCTTTGACCATTGGCACAGAACCCAAACAACAAGATCAGGCCGATGAAGACTTTAACATATCGAACATAGATCATGGAACCTGTTTAATGGCCACCGATGCGCAGAGCGAAACAATTGTTGGAGTGCTGTTGGCTGGTCCCAAAGGACCCGAAGAGGCTGACCACCTATTTGAAGAAGCCGCCGTGGAGGGTTCCTCGAAATGGGGAACTATTTTGAAATTCTTAGCCTGTGTTGAACGTGATGCCAATGTGTGCCAACGTTTTGGGGTACAAAAAGTTCTACATGCCCATGTTATTGGTGTTGACACCAAGGTACGAGGCAAAAATATTGGAGGGCGGTTAATGAGTGAATTGAAGGTGCTGGGAAAACAATTGGGATATGAACTGTTAACAGCAGACTGCACGAGTTATTATTCTGCCAAGATGTGTGAACGCCTGGGCTGGGAATGCATAAATACCGTGTACTACAAAGACTATGTCGATGAGAACAAGAAACCGGTCTTTGTTCTCGACCCGCCACATGAATGCTGTAAAACATTTGCTGTGCGATTGTGAGAAATAAATAAATCTAATGTGGTGTAAATTTTGTATTGTGTGTAAATTCATATCTTATCGGGGAGTATAATAAAATTGAGAGTCCATCAAACGTAAATGGAAAGAGTTTAATTTTTGGGAGGTATTTTTGAAATGCTCAAATTCAAACAGAATTCCAGGTAAATCCATTAAAAATGTGACTGTAATAAAAAAGTAAAAAGTTTCAGTCTATTTGCCGACTTCTCTTATGATTATTCAAATTGTTGACCCTACATGGAGTAAGTTCCGAAGAAAGGGGACAATATTATCCATTTTGTTTAGGACCTAGATAAATATGATATAAATATTGCGACGTGCCAGGTTTGCACTATATTGCTTACTTCCTCCACTTTATATGAAATCCAGGTTGAGATAAAAATAAATCTGCAACAATGTCAAACGCCATAATTTCTACTTTTTTTTTAATTTTATTGAATGAAAGTAAAAAATTTCGGAAATAGCATCAAATTTTGGAATATGTTTATATTTGTTCGAATTGGCCCCTTTGGCACGAATTATGGCTTTCAAACGGCCAATGAAACCGTCACACGCTGCCCGAATGTTGCTCTGCGGTATTTTGGCCCATTCCCGACAAAGCGCTCGACATTTTGTGATCGACATTTTGGTCTTTTTTAGTGCCAACCTTGCTTTCCAAAATACTCCAGACACAATTGTCCAACGGATTGGTATCCGGAGAGTTTGGTGGCCATTGTGCGCTAGAAATGAAGCGAGGAACCTCATTTTGCAATCATTCTTGGGTAGCAATGGTACTGAGTCCTGTTGGAATGTCCAAGGTCTGCGGCCAAAATGTGTGCGTGACCAATGCTTTAATACATCCTTCAGAATATTTTCGCGATAATATTCCGCATTTATTCTGATGCCACGGTCGATTAATACGAGCGGAGAGCCACCATTGGCTGTTATGGCGGCCCACACCATCTCCATGGCCGGCGCTTGAGTTCTGGTGGCCAACCGAAGTTGCACAATTTCAGCTGACCTCTTTGGCAAGTAAACGCGATAATTTTGTTTTTTTACACACTGCTGGATAAGGAATGTTTTCTCATCGGAGAAAATCAAATTCGATAGTTCACAACTTTCGGCCATGCGAAGCAACTCTAGCTCTTTTGAGTCTATTTTCTTTCTGTTGATTTCAATGGCTTTACCCCGAGCTCATTTTTCAATATTTTTTAATGGAATATTGCGATATGTTCAGCTCATGAGCCATTTTTCGGCCATTGCGACGGGGGTTTCGATCAAGTCGCTTCTTTACTTTTCGAACCATTTCTGCTGATGTTGCTTCCGTCTACTTCCTTGACGTCGGAGTACGCTACCAGAATCACGGTAACGAGCGATGGTACGAGACACAATAGATTTATTCACATTTAAATGGTAGAGTGCTCCCACTGTAGGCACTTGTGGTTTTTCAGCTAAATATAAAGAAATCACACTATCACGCTTTAATTCCATCACGAATAACTTTTATTTTGGAAAATTTTCACCAAAATACTTTTGAACGCTTGTAAACAATATAATGAGCTGTCACTGGAATAATTTTAACAGCTTTCGGACGAGTGACATAGAAATGACAGCAGTCTGAAGTTGGTTGCAGTTTTTTCATCTCAACCTGTATAATGAATATCTCAAGAATATTAAGGACTTCATGTCCAATACTTATGGATTCTGTATATATTTTTTTGGACTTCCTTCTTCTAAAGAAACGTATGCAGACTCCGACAAACACAAAATTGAAACGAGTTTTACTCGTTATCCGAATTCGAGCGGGAGTAAAAAAGACATAGGAAATAAAACTAAAGACGTTGTAGAACTATGTCGGCAATCTGTGAAGCATGTGATAGGGAAATCGGTTCGCTGTTACACACACATACAAATCAACAAACAAAGTAGTTATAACCACTCGATTTTACTCTTGCTTACTTTTATTCTATTCCGAGCGATTCTACTCCCACTCTAATTTTTCAAGCAAAAGAGTGAAGAGTAAAATCCACTTACAAATTTAACTCCTCTCGCACACGAGTAAGTTTCTTTCTAGAACGAAAACGAGCAAGTCTGTGCTCTGATCCTGAGTGTGATGTTAGTCAAGCCCTTTTTTACAAAAAGTCGTGGATTATAAAATAATTCCTTCCAAGGCCTCTCTTTTTGTTTCTGAAATGGACAAGAAATGTTCACTAGAAATTCATTTTGCAATGACATACCTCGCAATAAATTTATTTCGTGTTTTGTCCACATTTAGTCTTTGAACAAAAAATATCGGGCTAATTAGGTATGAGAACCCAGAAAGCACAAAATGGAATAGTACAAACTTTAGAATTATAGCGTCATAAAATGTACTCTGTAGACCTTGAAAAGTATAAACCATTAATATTGCATCCCTAATGCTGAGAGTTTTTTACTGCTTTTGGAAAAATATGGGAGACACTTTACTTGTTTAATTTCACATTTCAAATACAGATAATCCGGCTTAAAATCGGCCTCAAAATATCCAAAATGAAATTTTATACTTTTGTCTAGGATCATTGTTATATTGGCTTTTAACACCTTTCTCGTATATTGAGTTATAAAATCAAATCAACTGATGGAAAGTATCGATAAGAAAGAGGCGTTACGACATATATTATTCCAGGATACAATAAGTTCGCTGTGACCCAAGTTTCAATAAATTTTTTAAGGTAAAATAAATATATTTAAGATTTTCCGCAGAAGTCCCCAAAAGATTCTCCCCTACTTCTAACAGCATTTTCTGCAGGAGTTCCCAAAAGATTTCTCCCCACTTCAAACTGCATTTCGTAGACTTCAATGCAATTTACCAGCCAGACTGTATGGACACTTAATTAGTTTCCCGGGTTTTCCCCCTGCACATTTTTTGCTGCAACATTTAAGGTGCATCGCCATTCGTAGTGGCAAGTATTTGATTTATAAGCGTAAAATAGTTTTACACCTGAATTATAGCAATTTTCGGTACACGGAAATTAAGTTTGTTTTGTTGTTTTAATGAGTGGAGTAAATGAAGGACTTGCATTGGGGTCTGACCAACGTACGGCAGACAGAAGGAGCAAAGCTGTTGCAAAATAAATGCACAATTGCAGTTTTGGGGGGCAACCAAGCAACGAAACCAAGCACAAGCTTTTGCCATAAAACAATGCAATAACAACAAACAAAAAAAAAAACAAAGAATAAAATTACAAAACCAGCTAAAATATGCAAAAAAGAGAAAAACTTTGTTCCACGGCACATGGAAATTCGGAGTGGTCGCGGGGGGTTGTGTGGTAAGAACAACGTCTGTACAAAGTTTACCACAAAGGACGTGATAAAGGCAATGCGAACGGCCGAACAAAATCACCAGCAACAGTTTAAAACAGAAGAAAACAAATTCTGCCAGGTACATGGTGGGCTAGGCATGAAAAAGTGGCCTCTATATAATTTTTTCTCTTTTTTTCTTATTTAAATTACCACATAAATTTAAGTGAAACAACAAAATTCTTCGCATACAATATTTTTTTTTTGGCAGAACGAATAAATGCATACATCCCCGAAAGTATGCAATATTCTATTAGGTGAACAATGTTGTGAATTGTGCATGTGTTGGAATTTCGCTGTGCGGCTTCTGTTTGTGCATGTAGTTAAGTGCTTTCTCTCATCATTATCAACACGAAGCAAAAAACGCTCGTGGCAATATATTTATTGTGCCATATATAATGCGGCAGCCAATTTTTAAATTAAACACCAACCGAACGACAGGAGGCGTTTACCGCCAGAATTGGCCAGCAAAGGTCGTATTGACGGCTCACACAAAAAATTGCAAAATAAATAAATTTCATAAAAACGCAAAAAAATGTTTTGGTCACAGGGCCGAAAATTTAGCACCCTGTAATGATGAGAAATTGTTGCCAAGCTGATACATTTGTGGAAAAACCAGAAAGATTGCCCATAAAGTTGAAAAATACCTCCGAAATTCTTAATATCCTCTTATAGAGAGTCTTTAACTCTTTTCAATAAATTTCAGTAGACATCCTCATAAAAAAGCTGTAGATATTCTGATAGAAGATCTGATGGTTTTCTCAAAGAAGATTTTTAGATCTACTTCTAGAACTTCTGTAGATCTACTTCTAGAACTTCTGTAGATCTTCTGCTAGAAGATCTGTAGATCTTCTCGGAGAAGGTCTGTAGATCTTCTCGGAGAAGGTCTGTAGATCTTCTCCCAGAAGATCTGTAGATGTTCTCATCTGTAGATCTTCTTCTCTTCTCATAGAAGATCTATTGATCTTCTTACAGAAGATCTATTGATCTTCTTACAGAAGATCTATTGATCTTCTTACAGAAGATCTTTTGATCTACTTACAGAAGATCTATTGATCTTCTTACAGAAGATCTACTGATCTTCTTACAGAAGATCTATAGTCCTTCTCTAAAGACCTTCTCATAGAAGATCAGTGAATCTCCTCATAGAAGATTGGTAAATTTTTCGTAGAAGTTATATTAATTTCATTATTATAGAAGATCGGTAGATCTCGTAGAAGATCTGTAGATCTTCTCATAGAAGATCTGTAGATCTTCTCATAGAAGATCTGTAGATCTTCTCATAGAAGATCTGTAGATCTTCTCAAAGAAGATCTGTAGATCTTCTCGGAGAAGATATGTAGATCTTCTCGGAGAAGATATGTAGATCTTCTCAAAGATCTGTAGATCTTCTCATGGAAGATCTGTACATCTTCTCACGGAAGATCTGTAGATCTTCTCATAGAAGATCTGCAGATCTTCCCATAGAAGATCTGTAGATCTTCTCATGGAAGATCTGTAGATCTTCTCATAGAAAATCTGTAGATCTTCTCATAGAAGATTCGTAGATCTTCTAATGGAAGATCTGTAGATATTCTCATAGAAGATCTGTAGATCTCCTCATAGAAGATCAGTAGATCTTCTCATTGAAGATCGGCAGATCTTCTCATAGAATATTTGTAAAAAAACTGGTGTATGTGATAGGGTTATGTTTTGACCATAACCAAATTCTCCAAACCCAACCAAATTTTTAGGCTAAAAATATTTTTTTGGGAAAAAAACGTG